GAAGGTCTTGAACCAAACATATGTTTTTTAAAGCTTCTTGAAGCTTGTGTTGTTCTAATTAATCAGAAGTAGGCCAATAATGAGCATTAGGTTGAAGGTGAGATAATACTTAGAAGGGGGGGTTGAATAAGTATTAAAATTAAGACTTGAAAATAATCACACAATTATTTTTATCCTGGTTCGTTTAACAACTACTTCAGTCCACCCTTCCAGAGTGATTTGTCTTTCTCAACAAGGACTTAATCCACTATTAAATCAAACTGATTACAATAGTAACACCTAAGAACAACAGTTCTTAGTCTTCTCAAGAGCTACTGATTCTAACTGAATCCTCTTAAGGAATATCCTTTACAATCAATGTAAATTAAATACAAGAGTTTTTAATGCTTCTATAAAGCTTTTATCACAACAGTGATTTTTCTCTTAAGTTTAAGTACAAAGAGATTCTATGAAGAATAAGAATGAGAGCTTTTAGAATATTATGATATCTTTTCAGCAAGTGTGTAACTGAAGAATGAAGTGAAAATCTCCTTTTATAGGCAGCTGAATCATGCAAGCTGAATGTTGAAAAGAGAGTCCCAAAAGGTATGAGCCTTTTTGTCTTCACATCAACTGACCTTTCCTTGAAATAGATGGCACAGAAAAATCCTTTTTGTCTGTGTAAGTGTGTCTAGCACAAATAAGGAAAGAGACGTTGAATAGTTCCAACGGATATATTCTTGAAAATACTTCTTCAGTTTCAGCAAGTTCTTCAGAGTCTGAATGGATCAGAGTCTTCTAATGAGATTCAGAATTATGTTGTATCAGAGTCTTCTGCAGCATGTGTGCTTCTAGCGTGTTGATCATCAGAGCATTTTGACACAGAACTTCAGTACTTGGCAGCGTAGGTACTTTCAGAATCTTCTGTAGATAAATGCTTTGAGAAACTCTTCAATTAATATTCTTCTATACTTCAGATGCTTCAGCTTCAGATGCTTCTGATTATCTTCAGATGCTTCTGACTCAGAATGTTCTGGAGCTTCTTTCTTCAGATCCTTCTGGAGACTACGCTCAGGATCTTCTGTGAGGAGCAAACAGATTCTTCTGTAAGGTGCATCTGGCGCTTCAGAGTCAGAATAACTTCTTGTATTCAAGGCAGATTTTCTTCTAGAGAGTTAATATAATTTCAATCTGCAGTAAAACTCTCAAACAAATTTTAGAGTATATAATTCTTAAATATAAATTTCCTAACAGTTATTATCAAAACAAAGAGTAATTATTAAGAACCAATCTGTGTTCTAACATAGGTTGCTTAATTCCTAAGAAACTTATACTATCCTAAACCCCAATCACCTGATGATTTCTAGATAACCATTGCCTTGAAGAAAAAAATTCCTCCTTGTCAATCCCTTGCAATCCACATGCTTAGTATGCACTCAAGTATGATGATAATGATGAATCCATGATATGAAATATTGGGGTGAAAAATGAGGGTATAATAGTTGCCCCTATTTAAATGGTTTCATCAGATGATATGAGAGATTGAAACCCTCGTGTAATTCAGATAGAAGTTATTTAAATATAACAAGACCTGAATTTTGCCCCTAAATGCATATGATAGGCCATGATGCACTATGATATGCTATGTTGGAAATATGAGACCGACTCTGTGGGGATTAGTGAGATGAACTACCAATGAAATTTGCTAAGGATTGAATGAAGTAAGTTAAAATGACTTACTGGGGAAACTTGAGGAAAATAGTTAGTTCTGGCTTCTCACGGAACCAACCAAAAGTTGTTGACATATCATGTAATGAAGGGCGAGCTCTGGGATCTCACGGATCAAAAGATAATTGACTACAACAAATGACATGACTCCGGGTTCTCATAGAATAATGAAAGGAGTTCCGACTTCCCACAGAATAAAAAGTACGTTACGGTTTCTCACATAAAAATTGACATGACTCCAGATTCTAACAGAGTAATGAAAAGATTTCCAACTTCTCACAGAACGAAGAAATGGTAGTGACTCCAGGTTCTCACAGAGTAAGAAAATGGTTCCGACTTCTCACAGAACAAAGCATGTTACGGTTTCTCATATAAAAATTGAAATGACTTCGACTTCTCACAGAGTGACTAAAAGAGTTTCGGCTTCCCACATAACGAAGAAGAGGTTCTGGTTTCTCACAGAACGATAATGAAATAACTATGGGTTCTCACAGAGTAAAAAGATAATTCAGGTTTCTCATAAAATAATAACAAATGAGTTACGGGTTCTCACATAACAAACTGCAATGACTCCGGTTTCTCACAAAAGTGAAGGAATATTCAAATGGGCTATGGTTCTTCTTAGAACAGCGTAGGTGACAGGTCATGGTTTCTCTTCTAACCATGAAAAACAGATTTCGGCTTCTCACAGAACAAAATAATGCCAGGTTATGATTTCTCACATAACCATGGTTCCGGGTTCTCACAGAACGATGAGAGATGGGTTAAGGTTTCTCTTATAACCATAAGCGAGGGTTCTGGTTTCGCACAGAACAAAAATAGGTTATGGATTCTCACATAATCATAAGAAAGGTTCTGGATTCACACAGAACAAAAAGTAGGTTACGACTTCTCACATAACCATAAGAAAAGGTCTGAATTCGCACATAACGAAACGTAGGTTATGGCTTCTCACATAACCATAAGAAAGGTTTTGGATTTCCACAGAACAAAAAGCAGGTTACGGATTCTCACATAATCATGGTTCTTAGTGACAACATATACTTTGGTTGCACCTTATTTGAGTGAGTTTCTGTTCAAACCGTGGAAGGAGCATTGTTGCCCTAGTTTCCTCTAGGACTTTATGAGGGAGTATGATGCTTCATACTCTTATTCCATTTCTTATACCTTTAGCCTCGTCTCTCTTTGTCTTGATTGGTTCCAGGATGGCAGTATGAATCTTTCTTGAACTAAACTCTTGAATTGTATTTTTGCAAGAAGGAGCGTTGTGATGGATTTTTTTCTAGGCGCTAAAGCTTTAATTCAAGAGTGTGTGGATTTTGCTGTCGAATAATGTTAAAAATATTATTCAACAGCTTGTTAGTACCTTGTGCGCCAAATTTCACTTGTAGAGCGTGGAGGCCAAGCAAGGCTTCAGGTTTCATAACCGGGGGTGGAATATGAGTCTCTATCAAAGTTATTTGGATAAATATGGCCAATTGTGAACCTAGAACCAGATCTAGATGTAATGGAACAATCAATTTTGTATCTACGATGTTTTGCGATGGAGGAAGAGGTGGATGATTGTTTTTCGCTAGAGCAGCAGCAGTGGTTTCACGCGTAATGGCTGATCTGGTAGCCTTAAATTCAATCATCAGAAAAAATTATGAGAACTGAAGCTCTAGAAATTTGTGGATATAAAATGGAGATTGAGTTTTGCTGAATCAAGACACGATGGATTTTCGCGTTTGATCGAGAATGTTTTCCATCCAATGATTAAAGGAATTTATGAAGTGAGAAGTTTGTGTGTGTGTGTGTGTGTATGTGTGTGTGTGTGTGTGTGTGTGTGTGTGTGTGTGAGAGAGAGAGAGAGAGAGAGAGAGAGAGAACGTAAATTTGTGGAAATCGTAGGAATTTGAAGTTGAATTCCCAAAGAAGGCGCCATTGTTCGTTTTGGAACCAGAAATGGATGTAATTAGAAAACTTATGGTCTTGAATAGTGGTGATGACAAATCGTGGCTTCCAACTGCAGTGGAGTGGGGGGACTTATAAGTTAGCACTCAAACGCTCAAGTAAGTATATGAGGAAGAAGAGTGAAATTAAAATTGAATTTGAAATCTATGACCTCCATTTGGTGTTTTCCCTATTATATATAGAGAGAAAGAGAGAGAAATAACGAACTAACTATTTGTTAGTCGTGATTTGCGAAGATTCATTGGATGCATTTATACCTCAGATCTTTTGTGATCATAAAGATGATAATCTTTAGGTATTTAGAAGATTCTAGAAGGAGTGTGACCCCTTCTTACTATAGTTAGTCGATGGTGGTGTGATCTGTCCATAATAGCTTGGGATCGATCTGGTCGGCCCAGAGTATTATAAAGATTATCAAGCTTATCTGACTTCAACTATGATATCAAGCTTATCTCATAGTCGGTTAATGTTTGACATCACTATGTCACAATTCTCCACAACATTAAAGAGTTTTTCAATAAGAAATGACGAGTTCAAATATTTTATTTCCTTAGCGTATCGGTCTTTTACGAAACCTTCTAGAAGAATCGTCAATCTCTTACTAATTAATGCTAGTAAAACTTTATTTTTTAGATAATTTTTTTTTACTTTTTTTCTTTTCCTTTTTTTCACTTGTAAAAAAAAACATAAAACACCATAAATTAAAAAAAGTTGTAAATTTTGATTTACTAAAAAGATAAACTAAGAAATAAAAAAAAAGTATTTGATTTTCAATATCTTCAATTGTGTCAAAGACATATATTAGGAAATAAAAATAAATTTCATTTTTTCTGTTTATTCAAAACCAAAAGCAACGGCTCTGAAATTTCTAACCTGATAATATAGTCACAAAATATGCATGTGGTAGATATATAGAGTGAAATACAAAGAATAATGTACTATATGATAAAAAATTTGAAAAAGAATAACATAATTTAATATATTAAATATTATCTATGTTGACTCATTAATTTATAAAATAAAAGTTTCTAAAAAGCTAACCTTTTTTACTATGTGACAACCAATATATATATTTTAATAAGAAATTCTTACTTTGAGTGTAGAGTGCATCCCATAGAATTGATTACCTAGGGAACATATGAAAAGAAAATAAAAGAAATTGACTCATTAATTGATTTTTATTTCAAATATAAAATTGAGTTGTTGAAATTTATTTTTATGACCTATTATTTGTTTAATCAATTTTGTATAAGTTATATATATTTCAGATTATCCACCACACTATCAAATCTCATTTCAACTTTTATTTCATCAAGGTTCAAATATTTGGTTCTAAAATAATGGCTATGCTACCATACTCCGACGCTAATTATGATTTTTCTTCTGGTGGATTTGTTGAGCTACATCAACCATCACAATATCAACATCAGAGGGAGAGATATGTTCAAGCTTCAAACACAATTGATTCTCCTACTCTTGTTACTCTATTGAAGAAACAAGAGTCTGAGACAAACCAATTTCACAGAATTCAGGTCAAAATTTACATTTATTATGAATTAGGGTTAGGTTTCACTTCAAAAAAATGACTTATGTGAATTTTTCTATGTTCATTCTAATGAATATTTTTTGTGCTTCACAGAATGATAAATTGAAATTCATGTTACAGTATCAAAGGGAGCTACAAGAGAGTGCAGTTAGACGCATGGAAATTTATTCACAACAAATTCTGAAAAGAAAGGACGAAGAAATCGCCAAAGGTGCAAAGAAAAACCAAGAGTTGGAATATATCATAAGGAGCTTAGAGAATGAGAAAATGAAATTGAAGAGAGTGGCCGAGGAAAAGGGAGCAATGACAATAGATCTCCATAACAAGTTGGAAGAGGAGAAGAAGAGAGCAAGGATGTTGGTAGCAAATAATGATGTCGAATCATGTTGCAGTAATGAAGAAGCTGAAAAACATGTGAGACGAGAAGGTAATATCATGTGTTGTCCTATGTGTAACACAAATTCTCCTGGTGTTTTATTTTTGCCATGTAGGCATATATCTTCATGCAAAGCTTGTGAAGCTTCACTCCAAGCTTGTCTCATATGTGGAATAGCAAAGAAAGGTGCTATTGAAATTCAGAGTTTTGTATCAGAGGAATATTAGTCTTGAAAAACCAAAGAGAAATATCTTTGTTTGAGTATGCTAATATAGCATATCATGATATCATGAATAAATATAGAAGTCTATTCAATCGGGCTAAAAATAATATAATAAAATTTGTATTCAATGAAATTACATCTATTATGTAAAAGTTAAATTAAATTAATTATTTAATTTAAACATAATTTAAGCACGAACAATATTAAGATTTTTAAACCAATCATTTACAATCAAACAAAAATAATAATAATAATAATAATAATAATAATAATAATAATAATAATAATAATAATAATAATAATAATAATAATAATAATAATAATAATAATAATAATAATAATAATTATTATTATTATTATTATTATTATTATTATTATTATTATTATTATTATTATTATTATTATTATTATTATTATTATTATTATAAAAATAGTAAAGGACAACAATGATGAATTAAAAAGATATCAAATAAATAAATAGAATACACCTAAATTAAAGTTTGTTGAAAAAATGGTATAAAAAATATTAATGGACTATTAAAACCATACTAGCTATTCCTTATAACACACAACAAATAAGTAATAAGTTAAGCACTATCGGGTGCTCCTTCGCCACGGTCAAAAGTCACAGTTGTCCATAAATTCGGAGATACATCTTCAGACACATCTTTTTTACACACTCTTTAGCACAAATTGGTGAGCCACCCGTATTTTATCAAAATTTAGTTCGGAGATGCATCTTCGTATCAATATTAGGGTAATTTTGGAGATATATCTCCATAAAAATTCTTAAATCAAAACTCATTGAGTTTTACGGAGATACAACTCCTGACATGTTTAATTCATATACTCGTGTCAGGCATTTCCCCTTCGTTCTTCATTTGTTGCAAAATCTCACTAAAACCCCATTTGAGTTCGTGAAAAAGTTTCTTCAAGTTCATTTTTCAAGGTTCAACACTGCTCCTACTTCACTACATTCAATCCCAGGTCGTTCCACTCACTCCATTCAAACTATTCATCCACAACTCTCATTAGGTAAGTTTCTTATTTCATTTCTTTTTTTATAGATTTAATGCATGTATTAGGTCAAATGGGTTGTTTAAGATGCATTAGGTAGTAGTTACATTCAAAATAGGTAGTTTATATATAAATACATTCCCATTTGGTTAACGTTTAGAGCCTCTATGGGGTTTCTTCCATTTCTGCAGCTCACGAGTTTATCCAAAGATGCACCTTCGGATTTTGTATGAACTAGTTTACGGAGATGCATCTTTGGATATTGCTCTGACTTCATTTTGATGTGATTTTATGATATTATTACATGTACAGTGGTTGAAAACAGCCAAGACACATTGAGGCTCGACCGTGTGTCCCAACACGCATCTGTACAATGTGAGAAGGCTAGGGTCAGGCCCACGAGGCCACAAGTCGATGCTACTTCATTTGATGGGGGAAGCATTGAATTCACAAGGTCAAGGTTCACAACATCTACTTCCCAAAGTTCTTTGTCTAACATATCTACTTCACGGGGCCACATGTCCTATGTTTATGAACCTTCTAAAGCCCTTGAAGCTTATGAGGCCAATCAGTAGGAACTCAGGGCTGATGCAGATGCCCTTGTAGATAGTTATCTAGGTGGACCATATGAAACCTTCTTACTTCATCTCTAGGGAGACCATGCTCCTAGGCATGCCTGGTAAGGAGATGTATATTTATTTACTTTTGCATTAAATTTGTTTTATACTAATTTAATCGCGACTGATATTGATATGTTTGTTTTTACTAATTTAACCGCGATTTATATACTACTTGGTACAAGACCATAAACCATGGCATGCAAACGGCATTTACAAGGAGATGGAATTCAAAAACGTCATCTTTGCGCCTTCCTATTGGCAAGATTTTCATCACTCTGGATGATGTCTCATGCCTACTATATCTTACTACCAAGGGAAAATTATTGGACCACTCTAAGCTCAATCGAGTTGAAGCCATCGAGATGATGGTTACCAAGTTGGGAGTTGACCCAACTGATGCCCAAAAGTAGGTAATTGACACCAGAAGTGCTCATGGTAGATTTAAAGTATTGGTAGACCTTTATGAAGACTACCTACAAATGGTTTTGGATGTTAATGGAGATGATATGCAGGTTGAGTACCACATATAGTGTGCGTTGAGGTGTTACCTCTTATTCTTGGTTGGCATGTCCATGTTTGTGGACAAAAGTGTAACCCATATCGATGTGGTTTACCTTAAATACTTCATCGACTGTTTGGTCTAAATTTACTTGAAGTTGGGAAAATTTTGTCTTTCGAAGACAAAGCAGTTGACAGGAAATTGCAAGCTGCTTACCGTAATTTACTATTACTAGAAATTTTTATAAGTCTTTTGTTACACTTGTTACTAATACTTTATCTGAATCATTTTTTAGGGATGGATCCTATCCCACTCTCCTCGCATATTGAGGATTGGCCACATGCTTGCCTATATGTCCCGCTCAAAAGAAATCAGGCAATCGAGCCATTCTGAGTGTATCTTGACAGTCATATAGAAGATGATATTGCCTTTTTCTAATACGAAGGTCACCACCAGACGCGTCAGTTGGACGTTATTTCCTTATACTCTAGATGGTTGGCTTATGGGCTAGGCCTGATGTATGCCTATCTTCATGAGTTTTCTCCTTCCAACATTCGTCGCAGAGATCTTGATGCCATACTTGAGGATCTCGATAGTCATCTAGTACCAGAGGACTATCGCAGGGTGCCAGCTTCTATACAATGGGCTTATGTAGACGGCTGCATCAGGCTCATTGATGACTAGAGGTTGATTTTCTTATTCATGTTTGTATACCTTAGGTTCATATCTCCAAGGTATGACTTGCGTTCTCTCGTACGGGAATAGATAAGGGATCTAAATTACTAGAGGAGCGACCGGTATCTGCACTTCAGGTGTTGGATATAGGATCTTCAGCATAGCCACTTCTTACTCTTCTTGAATTGGATAATCAATCTGAATGGTACCCTAGCAGATGAGCTTTTGTATACATTTCTTTAAACTTGCATAGCTATGTAAGCCAGATATATCATGGTTTGTTGGGATCAAACCATGTTTCATTAGCTGTTCTCCTATGACAATAATGCGGTATGAATCTCCTCCACCCTTTCAACCAACTCTTGTTTGTCAGACTCTTCAACTGCATCTATTGATGGCCCTGCATGTGCCGGCATGGGATTTGTTCTAACATTTGGGCCAGTGGATGTAAATGTGAATGCCTTGCAGTCAATTAAGTCTTGTACTTTGTGCTTTAAGGCTTTACAATTGTCTACCGTGTTCCCCGAGGCACCCATATAATACTCACACCGAGCGTTGGTGTCATAGATTGGTGGATAAAGAGCACCCATCGACCTTAGCTCTTTCAAGGTCCCCCAACCCACCCTTAAGTATATAAGGGAGAATCTGGTTGTATGGAAATTGTAACGAATCAAACTATCTTTTTTACCGTCTAATTTTCTACTGGTTCTATTATCATTCTTATGAAGCATGTTGTTGATATTATTGTTGTGGTGGTTAATAAGCCGATTGTTGATATGAATGTTGTTGTGGAATTTTTTATTGATACTGGTTGGACGCAACAACTCCAACTTGATGATAGCCCACTGGGAGAGGATGATGAGCTCTATTCCTCTTTGACCTCATTATAGCATTCGTTTCTGCCTTTCTTTTAGGAAAGTTGGAGTAAGGCTTTTTCGCTCCGCTCAAAGCACTAGCAGTACTTGGCAACTTGCCCTTCTTAATATGAATCTCAATCCTTTCACTTGTGGTGATGATGTCGGAGAATGCTAAGAAGCTGCTTCCAACCATCTTCTCAGAATAGTAGACTTGTAAAGTCCCCATGAGCATGTGTATCAACTCCTTATCAAGGACTGTCGGTTGAATTATGGCATCAAATTCCCTCCAATACTATGTGTATTCTTTGAATGACTCATTACTTTATTGTCACGTGTCTTGTAGTTGAGTGCGGTTAGGCGCTAGGTTAATATTGTACTGATAATTTTTTAGGAATGCCTCAGCAAGATTCCTCCAAGACTAGACATGGCTTCGCCCGAGCTGCATGTACCACTCCAATGATGCCCCACTGAGGTTATCTTAGAATTAATTTATTAATAGCTTATCATCATCTGTGTAAGCCACCATCTTGTGATAGTAAACTCTCAAGTCAGTATGGGGATAACTAACCCCTTTGTACCTTTTGAAATTGGGAACTTTGAACTTCTGCAAGATGATTAAGCCCGACACTAAACACATATCCATAACATTAAGGCATTGAGTAGAGATTACTTCAATAGCCTTGAATTTCTTCTCAAGGGTGCATAGCAGTATCTGGTAGCGTACCTGTCGCTACTGCGAAAATCGGCGCCGGCTGAACAGAAGAGTCGCCACCGTGCGTTATTTATCCCAACAGAGGGAAAGGAAACGCTCGAAGTAAACCTACCGCAAAGACGGGAAAGGGATGGTCATCGCAACCAAATCCTGGATTCGGGAGTCGGTTACGCAAGGGGAAGGTATTAGCACCCCTCACGTCTGTCGTACTCGACGGGATCCACGCTTGTTTTCTGGTACGGATTGTTATTCTATCTATTCTACAGGTCTAGGGTTAAAAGAGAATAAAATGACTCGGTAAAGTATCGCACTTTATGCCTACGTATTCCCGTCTGGAACGAGAAATCAGAGTCAACGTAGTTCGCCTACCTACGGGAAAGGAGGGGAAGGTTGCTCGCTAGGATATCGCATCCTATGCCTACGTACTTCCATACAGCATGAAAGATCAGAGCAAACGTAGTTCGGGCCACGTACGACACAAGTCTGTCTTGATTGTTTTTTATCCTTCTGAAAAAGGTTTTCTCCTGATTATGGGTCCAAACGGACAAAAATGACGTTTTTGATTGGTTTACAGTCTTTTATGCAAGAACTGTTTTTTATGGTGTTTGAAATGTTTATTGTGTT